GGCTGCACGATAAATCACATGCGATATTTAATGCGCATCTTATCAGTAAAGCCGGTTCTGTAATCAGCGGTAAATCTCCATCACCTGCGTGCTTTCACATTGAGCAGCATTAACTACACAGAGCCGTTGTTCACTGACGAGCTGCGCAAAACCACGTTCATATTCGCGCGATTTTTTGCACAGCTCGTCAGTGAATAAATTCAGTTAAATATCGCATGCGATTTATCGTGCAGCCCTACTTCCGACAGATATCTGCGGCTGACAAACTACCCAATCAGGAAGCCTTCAGTTATGACATCATAAAACAACTGGCATACAAGCGTAAAGCATATTGAACCATCAATCCTGCAATCAGAATGAACTCATTTTTGTACTGAAGCCACACACACCGCTGATGCATGTTTAGAAGTGCTGCATTACACTGATAACCAGATTTTTACACTTTGAGAGGAAAATAAGAGTGATGTTTGCATTTGCAAAAATGTTATGAGTGTTATGGGTGGTTGCCAGGGCATTTCTATGTGTTTGCTAAGGTGTTAGTAAAAACAATATGATCAATAAGTTATGTCAACATATATTTTTTCCATTACTTTAACTCATCAAATGAATTTAACCAATTTCAACAATTTTTAAGCTATACAAGATTCAGCTCTATTCTTTAAGTCAGTTTAATATTAGGGCTGGGTATCGTTCAAAAATTTTCAATATCGATATCGATGCATTGACTTTGATACCGGTTCCTGAACAATACTTTTTTCGATACCAATTTTATGAAATCCATTTGAACAAGATTACATTACACATTACCTCAAAATACTTTGGTTTTACTTCTTCAGCTTGTTGATATTTTTACAGACTCGTAGACTCCTGAGCCACTGCACAAAGGAACAAAATGTAACCAACAAAAAAAAAAAAAAAAAAAAAACACTGTAAAAATACAATCACACTCAAACTTGGCCCTACAACAAAACCAATGTTCATTTTACCTTTTTACAAAATCTAACAATGTCCAGTTTAACGATGTCCCAATAATTCTAAACAAAACTTATTTGCAAAAGTATTTGCAAAGCATTATGTTTCCCTTGTGAGTGTGAGAAAAGATTTATATTTGTTTTTTTTGTGTTTTTTTTTCAATTGAATCACTGTATTACAGTATGCAAGCCTGCCACCCAAAGCAGCACTGACAAGATCTAAGAGAGAAGAGCGCTAACCTTCATGTATTTGATGAACATCTGATGCAGGAGGAGAAGACAGGAGAAAGCAGAAACAAAGAAAAACAGAAAAAGATCAGTGTAAAAGACTTGATTCATGCTGTAGCAAGTCAAGCATTTTGAACTGTTCTTGTTTGCCCAGCTTTGATGACTTGAGCAGCAGTACCAATGCAGGAGAAAGCTAGCTGAGGGAAAGGCTGTAATTAGGAGTACAGAAAGGGAAACATAGCAGGGGACAACAAGTAAACATAAACAAAAACACTGAAATAATAAACTTCACAGGAGTCAAGCAGAGTATGACAGAACAGGTTTAGAGCAGCTCGATAATGACAAAGCATTTTGGGCATCACAGAGCTAGTGCAAGACGTGCATTTGTGGTTAAAAAAATATATACATTTTTTTTTTGTTGAAAATAACAGATCGTTTCACTAGATAAGATCCTCATTCCTCGGCTGGGATCATGTAGAGCCCTTTGAAGCTGCACTGAAACTGCAATTTGGACCTTCAACCCGTTGAGCACCACTGAAGTCCATTTTATGGAGAAAAATCCTGGAATAATTTCCTCAAAAACCTTAATTTCTTTTCGACTGAAGAAAGAAAGACATGAACATCTTGGATGATAAGGGGGTGAGTAAATTATCATGACATTTTAATTCAGAAGTAAACTAATACACTGACATACATAGACACACCAACCTTATATGCAAATCTATATAAGGTTATGAATGTGTGTGTATAGCATTGTACATTACACCGAGATTTGAACTGAACAATACAGTCATGAGACTCTCAGGCCTGAGAGAAGGGCACGGCTTTCCTCAAATGTCTTAACTGTGCCCCCTTTCTCTGCCTCTTATTCAGTCACCTTAAAAAACACGCTTTGTTAATGCAATTCGATGTTATTTAGGGCATAGGTGACAGAACAATCATGTGTGTGATCCTTTTCAAGATGTTCATGTTTCAAATGTTAGTTTATAGATACACATGCTAATGTCAGAGCACAGATGAGTGACATCACGCTCTTGTTTTTAATTCTTTGTGTCATAATACTGTGGTGCATTTCCCCCACAGCTTTCGTTTTTTCCAATTTATTGAATAAATAGATTAATAAAAAAAAGTTTATTTTTTCTTAGCAGTGCACTATGACAAAACACCACCTGCACCTTGTGCACAACCCTGTAACAAAGCGAGCAAAAACAGAAATGAACTCTTTAGGAAATCAGGTAACTTTTGGAAGAACAATTCATTTTAGCAAACTGAAGCGACTGGCACCCCTTTTACCTTGACATATTTGGCATAGAGTTGCTCGTCCAGAGGGAAGCTCTGTACTGTGCGTTCATCACGGGCGTGAAATGTGCCCAGCTTGATCCACTTATTGGTCGGATACCTGAATTTGAGAAACAATTTTTAAAGAAAAGGTTAAGTTGGTGTTTATATAACACAGTCTCCAAACCAGGCTCGAAGTGATAAGATTTCAGCAACATGCAATTTGTTTGTGAGAACGTGAAAATGTGGAATGAAACAAACTAAACCAAGCACAACATATTCATTTGTTTAATATGAGGCAGGATTTTGGATGAATTCGATTTCACTGCAACTAGTGAAATTTACTGTGGTACAAAAACACACATCTGCATTGGAGATCAGTCGACATCTCGCATTGTGCCTGGTTAGGAGTGGGAATACTATATATGTCTATGTGAGTGATGTTACCTGTCACTTATAGACACAAGGAAATCTTTTGGTGTAGAGGAGAACAACTCAAAGTTTGCAATATCCAGCTGCTTCACCTGGATTGGCTCACAGAGCTCAATAACAAACCTGTATTGGGAGATTAATAGGGGAAATTAATTTATAATTAAGTAACGTGCTGACACAAAAACGACTAACACTGAAACAAAAGGCACAGGAAAAAACTTACAATTTATTTATAATTATTTATCTTCTCAACATACTAATAGTACTTTATGTCAACTATCATTTACACAAATAGAAAAATAGACAGTGTAAAATGCATTTCTCCATTGTCTCTGCACAGCTGCTGCAGTCTGTTTCTCTCTTTATCTGCAGTGACTCACCAGATCTTGGTACTGCAGGGGTTCAGCATGTACAGATCCATGTTCTCCATCAGGATGGCAGACGTGCTCTGAAAACACAAAACACACAGACAAGCACACATTTGCTGATCTCAAATTAATCAATAACATTCCAGGTGCAGGAACAATATCAAGTAATTAAATGATTGTCCTATTTATGCCCCCGGTGAAAATCCATCCATCTTTCCACCTGCCCCATATGCTGTTTTGCAGTCTCTTGCACTGTACCTTGGCCTCATTGTTGGCAGAGAGGATTTTGGCCCCACATTCGACAGAAGCATAGTTATTCTTGAAATTCTTTTGGACCTTTTTGACTGGATGAGGGCTGCCATTTGATGAAGTGTGCATAGACTGACCTGAAAACAACAAAACAGGTTACATATAGGCCATCTGTCAAATGTTTTAGACCGTGGATCAGGTTGGCCTAGTATGCAAGTATGAGCGTATCATGCAAAGTGCAGGTGGGTATGTTTACCTGTCAATTACAGCACTGAAAACAAAAGAACGACCTATCTTCATGTATGCACATAGCATTCATGTATTCACTATCTGTAACAGATAACCCTTGTGAATGGCAAAATTGTTGGATTTTAACTACCAATAGCTGCTGTCATGACCTTCTGTGACAACCTTCAGGGAAAAAAGCTATTCATTAACATTGTGCCGATTACAGCTTGTAAAAACCACCTAAAAATCTTTGTAGCTTTGGAGCCCACAGACCAAAAACAGAGACAATAACTTAGTTTTCTAAATTTGATTTAACAAATTAGTTTTTTGTGAACATTCTAGGTCAAGCAGCCCGGGCTATGAATAGCACAATCCTGACCCAAAATATTAAGGAAACTGATCAAATTTCAGTTATGTGATACTGTGATTCATGCAGGCAACATAAGCCACACTGGAACCCAAATTCTATGTACTTGCTCTTTGAGAGCTCTCTAGTTTTATTGTGTGTACTGCACCCGCTAATTAATGATGACAAGGGTCAATTAACATACTGTTAACCAGTGGTTGTTAATTAGCTGACTTTGTGATTTGAATGTACAAACAAACACACACAGCGATGGGAAAAACCCTGATGAACTAAAGCAAGAGTTTAATTGTTCAGCTGGCCTGGAGCATGCACTTAAGAGTTTTGTTACTTTTGTTGCAGTGTACTTTTCTTCTGAAGCAATCCATTACAGCAGCTTACACGTGAGCATACTGGGTTACGCAAAAGTCACTGTGCTCGCCAGTGAACAGTCAAATGTGAGCAAGCAAAAACAAAAAAAAAAAACTATTATTATAAGCAAGAAGCAGCAAGCGGGGGAAACAGAAATTCATGATAGAAAGAGATCAAAAGAAAGGGACAGCTCTGTGAAATCAAGCAGAAGTGTGTCCTAAAGGAAGTGCAGGTGAGTGTGTGTACTGATGCAGAAGCAGCACGGGGGCAGCCTGGCATGCGATGATTCACTGATGAACACGCAGCTCTGTGAGTGTGCATGTGACCCAATGCCGTCTCTCACTTTTCTTCTCCTCTACTTCCATCACTTTCTTCTTCCACTCATCAAAAGTGGGGATGTCCTCTTTACTGGGCACAGGAGGGTCTGTTGCTCCCTCATGGTCCATCACCTGGAGAGAGAGAAAAAAAAAGAGCAACAAATCTTTATTACAGTGAAAAAACTACAACCCAACCTTCTCTGGTCCTAAAACTGTGAAATGCCATTTTGGAAAATCCATGTTTTCTATTTCAGAAGCATTATGCTGGGTAGATATGGCAAACATGAAATTGGTATTTGTCCCATTATTCACATAACTGTAAATGAAGCATCAAATATTTTATAATATGATATTATATTCTAATAATATAATACAATATAATTACGAACTGTTTGAATCTGAACTGGCTTGAATCTGGAAAAAATGTAATCTATCACTACTTCCACAAAATATTTACCAGCACAACTGCTTTTAATATTGATAAGAAAAGAGCAGCATATTAGAATAATTTCTGAAGAATCATGTGACACTGTGGACTGGAGTAATGATGCTGAAAATTCAGCTTTGTATGAAAGGAATACATTTAATTTTAAAATCTAATAAAATATACAAAAGTTGTTTTAAATTGACAATATTTCACAATATTGCTGTTTTTAAACTGTATTTTTAATCAAATAAAAGCAGCTTTGGTGAACATATGGTGGTGGTGGACTTCTTTCAAAAACATATATGCATTATAATGTAACTATACAGACACATTACATATAAGGTCTATATGGGATTATACACCTTGACATTATACGCAAAAGGGTGGTCTTTCCTTCGGTCTCCCCATCACTTTCCCTTTTTCTTGTCTCCCTGATCTCTATCCCTCTCTGTGTGTCTGTTAGTGCCTAAACAGCAGCGCCGAGTAAGCATTTGGTTAATTAAACATTTACAAGGCTGTCCTGTGGAAAACAAACATGCTGATGTACTCAGCCCCACTCTCTCAGCCTAACCCTCTCCTCCACTCTTATGCTTTCTCTTCCACTTTCATCTTCTCCGTTTAGGGTGAATGTGTCAGAGCAGCTTTACGAGAGAGGAGGGGATGTTTTAGCTCTGCAGATCTCTAACAGCAGGGTGTGGAGAGCCTCAGTGGTAATCGAATACATACCCTTTCACTCTCTACATAATGGTGGAAAAAGGTAGGGGAGGAACATACGGGGTGCAAAATGTAGTGATTACTGTCATCATGTTACATACTTTTAGGTGGTGTAAGCTAGGGAAAAACAAAACTAGAAGAATCTTTCAGGGATTAAAATGGTTTTAAAATACAGACATTATACCTTTTAGCTCCATACCTGAAATCTACCCGATTACATGTCATTATATATAATGACATATAAAACTATTAAATTACTGTAATATTATTGTGCAATCTTGGTGAGCATAAAAAAAATCTTAATGACTCAAAACCTTTCCACGGTAGTTAATATCTAATATGTTAAGATTGCATATTATATATTCATCTATTTATTTATCAATTTGAAGTGATTTGATTAGATTAATTACTTTTTAAACTATTTAATTATTTATGTTTGATTTCTTAATTCTATTTTTCGGCACCTATAGTGTTCTATATACACCTGCAACAGCAAATTATATTTTTACAGTACCAAAATTGCCTAGCAACAGAACAAAGAGTACTATATTAATGGAGAAATTGCTTATTTTGATGATTATTAATACATTTAACTGTTTATTGAACATTAGCCTCCATTTTCTAAAAGCATTATGCCATTAGTCATATGTATTAAAGTGATTTTAGCATGTTTAATGGGGTTTAGGTAATGCAAATCCTCTTGTGGGTATTTGCTTTATCTCTCACTGTTAGAATTAATTAGCCATGTTAGATTAGTCTGATAAATAGTGTGTGTGTACCTGCTGGCTTTTTGTAGGTGGAGGGATACTGGCTGTCCGCCCCAGCTCTGTGAGGTCCAGCTCACTCGGGAGCAGAGTGGCAGTCAGGTCAACACTGGTCTCTGTACTCTGTACTCCCAATGTGGCAGACTGGTTCTCTGCTTGCTTTTCTGCATTTTCCTCCACAACACTATTAAGAGCCAGAAAACAGAGGAGAGAGAGGGTGGGGATAGAAAGAGACCTTAATAGATTGCTACACACAAAAAAACAAAAATAAATTATCGCAAGTGACAAGCAAAACAAGCATTAAAATGGTGTATCATGCCATTGGGAAAGAAAATTAAATGGTAAACCAAACTGCCAAAATGAAATGATGAAATGAGAAAAACAAAAAAAAAGAGCATGGCCAGAAGGCGTGGCTTGATGTGCCTGAAGCAGCTCCGTTACTTGGTTAACCATTGGTTACCAAGTCACCTGATGTAATGCGAGTACCGGAATGTTACCATGTAACCTGCGGTTTACCTGTTGCTCGGTACTCACCTGGGGAGCGTGATGCCAAGGGACTGGCTGAAGGGGGGCACAGAGCCCACCTCACACTGACTGGCACTAGAGTTTTCTACAGGGGCATCAGGACGCGGAACGTCTAGTCCACTGAAGGAAAGAAATCAAATGGTGTTTACCAAGAGAAAGAAGAGAGGAATGGGAGAAGAATACTAATGGAGAGAGGGAGGGGGATAGAAAGGATGAGAGAAAGAAATCTGGCTCCATGTATGGACTGAACATTTGTCCAGGGTTCTGTAAAAGGTTCCTGTAGTACTGGTTTATTACATTTTAAAGGCCTATCTAGCCAATCGCAGAGCGATATTGTCTGTTTTTGGTCCTTGTTGAAATGGAAGATTAGTAAATGCTCCAAGTCCGGTGAAAACAAGTCATAGTGGACTAGTAAAGAAGGTGAGATCCACTGTGATGCAGTTGAAAAAACTGTCCCAAGTAGGTGCGATATGAAGTCCATGAAGTGTATGCTTGACTGATTCAGTTTAAAAGTTTGGATGCAGAAATTGATCACAATGACTCAATTAGAAAAACAAATCAAATGAAAAAATGAAACAAAAAATATGAAATTAATGACAAGACAAAGATTCTAACACTCTTCTTTCCCAAACTGCTGTGCTTGCACTCACCTGGAGGAGCTCTCGGAGGAGGTGACTGAGGTAGGTGAGGCTGACTCTGGGCTCTTCTGGAGTTCAGCCGGAGGTGCGGATGAAAATCCATGTTTTCTATTTCAGAAGCATTATGCTGGGTAGATATGGCAAACATGAAATTGGTATTTGTCCCATTATTCACATAACTGTAAATGAAGCATCAAATATTTTATAATATGATATTATATTCTAATAATATAATACAATATAATTACGAACTGTTTGTTCTTTTGAACGGCTTGAATCTGGAAAAAATGTAATCTATCACTACTTCCACAAAATATTTACCAGCACAACTGCTTTTAATATTGATAAGAAAAGAGCAGCATATTAGAATAATTTCTGAAGAATCATGTGACACTGTGGACTGGAGTAATGATGCTGAAAATTCAGCTTTGTATGAAAGGAATACATTTAATTTTAAAATCTAATAAAATATACAAAAGTTGTTTTAAATTGACAATATTTCACAATATTGCTGTTTTTAAACTGTATTTTTAATCAAATAAAAGCAGCTTTGGTGAACATATGGTGGTGGTGGACTTCTTTCAAAAACATATATGCATTATAATGTAACTATACAGACACATTACATATAAGGTCTATATGGGATTATACACCTTGACATTATACGCAAAAGGGTGGTCTTTCCTTCGGTCTCCCCATCACTTTCCCTTTTTCTTGTCTCCCTGATCTCTATCCCTCTCTGTGTGTCTGTTAGTGCCTAAACAGCAGCGCCGAGTAAGCATTTGGTTAATTAAACATTTACAAGGCTGTCCTGTGGAAAACAAACATGCTGATGTACTCAGCCCCACTCTCTCAGCCTAACCCTCTCCTCCACTCTTATGCTTTCTCTTCCACTTTCATCTTCTCCGTTTAGGGTGAATGTGTCAGAGCAGCTTTACGAGAGAGGAGGGGATGTTTTAGCTCTGCAGATCTCTAACAGCAGGGTGTGGAGAGCCTCAGTGGTAATCGAATACATACCCTTTCACTCTCTACATAATGGTGGAAAAAGGTAGGGGAGGAACATACGGGGTGCAAAATGTAGTGATTACTGTCATCATGTTACATACTTTTAGGTGGTGTAAGCTAGGGAAAAACAAAACTAGAAGAATCTTTCAGGGATTAAAATGGTTTTAAAATACAGACATTATACCTTTTAGCTCCATACCTGAAATCTACCCGATTACATGTCATTATATATAATGACATATAAAACTATTAAATTACTGTAATATTATTGTGCAATCTTGGTGAGCATAAAAAAAATCTTAATGACTCAAAACCTTTCCACGGTAGTTAATATCTAATATGTTAAGATTGCATATTATATATTCATCTATTTATTTATCAATTTGAAGTGATTTGATTAGATTAATTACTTTTTAAACTATTTAATTATTTATGTTTGATTTCTTAATTCTATTTTTCGGCACCTATAGTGTTCTATATACACCTGCAACAGCAAATTATATTTTTACAGTACCAAAATTGCCTAGCAACAGAACAAAGAGTACTATATTAATGGAGAAATTGCTTATTTTGATGATTATTAATACATTTAACTGTTTATTGAACATTAGCCTCCATTTTCTAAAAGCATTATGCCATTAGTCATATGTATTAAAGTGATTTTAGCATGTTTAATGGGGTTTAGGTAATGCAAATCCTCTTGTGGGTATTTGCTTTATCTCTCACTGTTAGAATTAATTAGCCATGTTAGATTAGTCTGATAAATAGTGTGTGTGTACCTGCTGGCTTTTTGTAGGTGGAGGGATACTGGCTGTCCGCCCCAGCTCTGTGAGGTCCAGCTCACTCGGGAGCAGAGTGGCAGTCAGGTCAACACTGGTCTCTGTACTCTGTACTCCCAATGTGGCAGACTGGTTCTCTGCTTGCTTTTCTGCATTTTCCTCCACAACACTATTAAGAGCCAGAAAACAGAGGAGAGAGAGGGTGGGGATAGAAAGAGACCTTAATAGATTGCTACACACAAAAAAACAAAAATAAATTATCGCAAGTGACAAGCAAAACAAGCATTAAAATGGTGTATCATGCCATTGGGAAAGAAAATTAAATGGTAAACCAAACTGCCAAAATGAAATGATGAAATGAGAAAAACAAAAAAAAAGAGCATGGCCAGAAGGCGTGGCTTGATGTGCCTGAAGCAGCTCCGTTACTTGGTTAACCATTGGTTACCAAGTCACCTGATGTAATGCGAGTACCGGAATGTTACCATGTAACCTGCGGTTTACCTGTTGCTCGGTACTCACCTGGGGAGCGTGATGCCAAGGGACTGGCTGAAGGGGGGCACAGAGCCCACCTCACACTGACTGGCACTAGAGTTTTCTACAGGGGCATCAGGACGCGGAACGTCTAGTCCACTGAAGGAAAGAAATCAAATGGTGTTTACCAAGAGAAAGAAGAGAGGAATGGGAGAAGAATACTAATGGAGAGAGGGAGGGGGATAGAAAGGATGAGAGAAAGAAATCTGGCTCCATGTATGGACTGAACATTTGTCCAGGGTTCTGTAAAAGGTTCCTGTAGTACTGGTTTATTACATTTTAAAGGCCTATCTACCCAATCGCAGAGCGATATTGTCTGTTTTTGGTCCTTGTTGAAATGGAAGATTAGTAAATGCTCCAAGTCCGGTGAAAACAAGTCATAGTGGACTAGTAAAGAAGGTGAGATCCACTGTGATGCAGTTGAAAAAACTGTCCCAAGTAGGTGCGATATGAAGTCCATGAAGTGTATGCTTGACTGATTCAGTTTAAAAGTTTGGATGCAGAAATTGATCACAATGACTCAATTAGAAAAACAAATCAAATGAAAAAATGAAACAAAAAATATGAAATTAATGACAAGACAAAGATTCTAACACTCTTCTTTCCCAAACTGCTGTGCTTGCACTCACCTGGAGGAGCTCTCGGAGGAGGTGACTGAGGTAGGTGAGGCTGACTCTGGGCTCTTCTGGAGTTCAGCAGGAGGTGCAGAGGGGTCTTCTCTGTGCGGGTCAGTCTGTGGAGGGGTTAAAGCAGCGGAGGTGTGGGCAGCCTGGTCCTCTGTGGCAGTGGGCTGTAGAGTTTCAGGGTCTGGCTGGGGCTGGGAGAGTGGCGGTGCTGTTTGGGGCTGCGCAAGTGTTGGTGGTTGAGCTGATTGCTGTTGGTCTGATTGTTGAGTGCTCTGAGGTTCCGGTTGCTGCTCCTGCTGCTGTTGTTGTTGTTGTTCTAGCACAGGGAGAGCAGACTCAAGCAGAATCTGCGGCTCCTCCAACACTTCTTCCAAATTCACAGTCTACAATGACAGAAACAGACAAAGAGATTAACAATTAGGCAACAGAAGAAGGATTTTTTTATTTAAAAAAAAATCTTGACTATGATTTGGTTGCAGCCATGAGCTGGAAGATCACAGATCATGGCGAAAAATTACATTATCCATGATTATGCAAAAAACGCTCCTCGAATCAGAGAATTGCATCAAGCAAATTGCACCAAAAGAGCTCTTTAGTGCCCACCTACTCCCATGAAGCACTGCGAATGAGTCAGTCTCCCCGAGTTCTCAATCTATTTCAATATTTCTATATACATGCATATTTTGCATTTTGCAAAATGTCTATGGAAAAATACTTCTGGAACCAAAATTAGGTGGGCACTGGCTATGATGTTGTTCATAATAAACCAGAGGTTTTGCTTTTAATGCAAAGAGTTTAAAGTCAAAGAAAGCAAAGTGAACAAACAAATATAAGATGTTGTGTGACCTATGCCCTGAGTCAAATGTGTGGGTCACATCTAAGTTTGAGACACGTAATAGAAGAAAACAGATATAATGGTTGGATTGCACTGGCACCTGTTTGTGTTTCTCTTCGAGCGGGGCGTCTTGGGAGTGCAATGATGTTTCCTTTAGGGCAGCTCTCTCTTTTTCCAGGCCCATGTCATACGATAACCGAGTGTGTGTTGCCCTTTCCTCTTCAACCTTAAAGAGAAAAACAATGTTACTTATGAATAAAACATCTAAATAAAGAGCAAGAAAGGGTTACGAGGCAGCCCCTGGTCACATGTACTTTTGCCGTTTCATTGAGAGCAACGTGATCATTGTGCTGAAAATCCGTTTGGGCTCCTCAGAGGGGTTTGGAATGACATGAGGTTGAGTAAGTGACAGGATTGATGAGTGAGTTTTCATTTTGGGTGAACTATTCTTTTAACAACAGGTAAACTGACAGAACTGGCTTTGTTTCTATGAGGGTGAAAGAGATGTTTTTCAAGGGCAAACAGCTATCGTTCAAGTTTGGCAGGAACAAAGAGGAAACACTTTAGTGACTACTGGAGTGGGAAAAAAAATTTGCTGAAGTGCAAAAAGGGCAAGCTTACAGAAGCTAAACTGGGATTAATCAGTCAGTCATTAAGAAATACTGGACAACTAGAAGAATCCACACCCCTATACAGCCTTAAATCTGTAGGTTACACAAGGGGAGTAGGGTTGTGACGGTGAGGAAATTTTCGGTATCACCGTTGGGGTGGGGGTGTTAGTTCGTTTGAGTTTCCCTCTTTTCTTTCCTTTCAAATGGCTTGTAAAAGTGCCATGCGCATTTTACTTTCACTTTCAAATTAGTGGCAATTGAATTGCCGCAATTCGCCGTTAAGCAATTGTCCGTTTGAGTTTTCCCTCTTTTCCTCGGATTTCTTGGCTTTCAAATAGCTTGAAAAAGCGCCATGCACGTTTTACTTTCACTTTCAAATTAATGTCAATTCGGCGTTGATTCAATTCAAGCAACAACAACGTCAAACTCATAGAACTGTTATTAATAAAACGAATAAAAATACACCATATATGCCTAATAAAATAACAAATTACTTAGGCTACACAAAGTTTAAATAGGTATATAAAACTGAAAATCAACAAACACTGTGGAACCAAATAAATAAGAAACATAGAATGTTTATTAGCAAAACAAATAAGAAAGCTTGGAGGCACGGCATATACACCTTGATGTAAAATAAAATAAATAAAACACAAAGTTTAAATAAAGTAATCAGCAAACACTGTGGAACCAAATAAATAAGAAACGAATGTTTAAAAAAACTTCCAGTCAATAGGCTTTTCAAAATCTAAAATATTGTCAAACAGGCACCTTTTGCGTTTCCTTTCTAAACAATCTTCTGCCATCGTCTTGTCTTTCTCACCTCACTCTTGTCAGTCAGCTCGACTCACTCTCCTCACGTGATAAATAAAATCTGACTCCTGCTCCATGGTGCACTGTTGTTTGCGCGGTTCGGCACGCTGCATTGAGCGTTTCATTTTTAAAAGTGTCTGTCCTCTAACTGAACTAGGCTAAATGATTTTTGTTACTATAAAAAAATCTAAACGACGGTGGGGGGCAGTGCCACGGTAGGCAAATGACGTAACCGGTGTTGCAGCCTAACACCGGTATAACCGAAAACACCATCTATCGCGGCAAGCCTAAAGGGGAGGGGGGTCTTTGTTGGGGCCCCTGTCTGTAAGTACCTTTATAGATTAGCTTGTTGAAAGACGATGTCAACAACAGTCTGCACTCTGAATGAGGAGCTATTGCACAACTTCAGGGGCTATTCAAACCTACACAACAGCCAAACAAATTCTCTTCTCTAAAAGGTCAAATGTATATGATTCCCATTTCATAATACAAAGTTAAATCCCAATGGTGTTAAGGACACACACTCATTGACCTAATAGTGAAAGTGAAAGTGACGTGACATGTGGCCAAGTATGGTGACCCATACTCAGAATTAGTGCTCTGCATTTACCCATCCAAAGTGTACACACACAGCAGTGAACACACACCCGGAGCAGTGGGCAGCCATTTATGCTGCGGCGCCCGGGGAGCAGTTGGGGTTAGGTGCCTTGCTCAAGGGCACCTCAGTCGTGGTATTGAAGGTGGGAGAGAGCGCTGTACATTCACTCCCCCCACCTACAATCCCTGCCGGTACGAGACTCGAACCCACAACCTTTAGGTTATGAGTCCGACTCTCTAACCATTAGGCCACGACTTCCCCTCAATAGGAGAATAGTTCAACTGCTAGCAAGTCATCGATGCATTTAGTTGGTAACTGCGTGGAGTCATTGTTTTTTGTTACCTTTTCGTCGGCCCCTGGTTCCTGCGTTGTGTAACGGCTGGCATCCTGTGCAGGGAGCCCTGGGCCAGAGGAGATCTCTTCTGAACAATAAACATGATGACAAGAGTGCCTGCAACACACAGAGACAAACATAAGATTCCCGAACATGGAAATGACTTGTATATGAGCTACATGTACCAAATATAAGAGCAATGTATCTCTACCATGTGAAATAAAAACTCTCTTAACACTCTTCTAAGGTGGTAAGAGCTCATGACAACATTGCACGCTCCACCATAGAAAGAAACTTGCAAGGCTTAGATGCAAGATTACACCTTTTTCTGTTGTTTTATTCTGTTTACAGTAAATCCTCCAGCATGGTAAAAGTTATTCTTACTAAAGCCAATTACATCAGAGCTCTCGTGGAAACGGTTTCACCCAAACATAATGGCATGTTCCAATCATTCTCATGGGTTTACAGACTAACAGAGTCTAATGCTGTGCAAGCTTAGTTGAGAAATAGTGTCTGATTGGCAAAGATTTCATACCTGTTATGACTTCAGTCAGCCCAACAGAGGTGAGAATCTTATGTTCAGATTAGTGATGTGCAAAACCATAGATTTTCAGACTATTTGGTGGGTTCTCTAATGAATTTGACTGGTTTAGGGTCCACACTGAATTAATTGGATGCTTTTTAAAGAAGTGTCAGCATTGCAGACGCAGAACCATGATATACCATTGTAATCTTGAAACGTTGATTTCAATGATAATGACTTATAAACACAGAATTAAAAATGCATCATCCTTAACTATTATAATAGCAATTATGATTCATAATTTATTAATTTTATTTTTTGGCCATAAAGAAATAGTGAAGAGAAGGGGTAAGAGGAAATGGAAAATACTGAGCAGGATTCAAAGGCTCAATGTGTCAGAGCATGTGCTAACTGCTAGGTCTTTCATTCTGATCTCATTTTGTCCAAATACATGTGAGGAACAGGACTCAAGAATTCAGTTCTACTCCAGTGAACACATTTGTGCTTGGCTAACTATTGCTTCAGTCTTCACTAGGTTGAGAAATTAACTGTATGAATGAAACGGCCAGTTAATCATTACACAGTTTTTACGTGGCAAAACACAATTGTAAAGACACATAAACGAAAGCCCTATGGATTTCTGTGATGTGGAAAACACAATTTACTGTATAACATGAAATGTCACAGAATTTGGCAAAATTCCAAACCACCAAAATAAAACTTTAGATTAACTAAGAAATTGACAGAAATGTATTACTATGTATTCTTAATAATAAATAATAATAATAATAATAATAATAATAATAAAAGTAATACAATTTAATAAAACATTAGGAATATCACACAATCAAAAGATCTTTTCATGTTGTGGAGCACTTTAGCTGACAACATTTTTTTTTAAATTACGGGGGGTGTAATTTGGGTGAAATAAAAGATTGCACAGGACTCTATTATTGTTAAAATTGTAATAAATGATTACATTGCTAAAGTTGTATAAATTCAATTGATTAGACATGATTTTGGTTTATTTTTAATTAAAATTTAATTAAACCATAAAAAAAAGAAAGCAGAATTAGATTTTTTATTTTAAATTTACAGGGCCCTGGCATTTCTATTCTGTGTTTAGCCACCTTGTATGCCACCAAGTTTACGCCACCTTGCAACACTCACACTGTCCGTTCAGCACCAAAAACATGCCATGTTTGGAAATGAATGCAAACTGCACTGACAGCAGTGCCTAAAATGAATATTAACTGACACTCTGCACCAAACTGATCAGTGAATCGTATCTCCTCCTAATCCTACCAGTCTAATTTAACCAGCCAGCGCAGATCTACATGGGAGGTAAAATAATCATGGCAAAAATCTTGTACTATGCATCTGCCCTCCAAAGAAAGCTGTCAGATGACTTGTTGGAGAATGAACAACAGCTGAGGCTTGTCATTGTACGCACTCTCTGTCTCACTCTCATTTCAGATAGTAACAGAGTAACTTGAGAGCGTCACCCTGGCTAGATTTAGGAGTCAGGTGAACCTGTACACATGCAGGCTCATGTTAGCAAACTGTCAGCACCTCGGCCAGTATGGTCAAACCCTCAATCAACGTTGGACATTAACCACCGTCAAGTGATTCCTCTGATGGGACTCTACTCCTTATTATCAGGCCTTGTAATTAGGTGTTTACTTCAGGAAAGCATGCATGGTCAAGTCACAGCAGTAAAGACACACCCACTTTAAGACATAATAAAACAGTTCACAGTAAGGAAAAATTGCAAAAAGAGCCATAAATGAACCATTGTAAAATGATGTTTGTAAGACAACAGAGGAAAACGAAGGTTTTTACACCCCTCTGATTCTATATGCTGTAACTGATGCACATGGATCTGGGCTAATTATTAATAGGTCAAACCTTGAACATACACAAACCCACAAAGATATAGCGTCTATATAGGTGTCAGTAGTGAGTTATTGAGCAACAATGTATATATGCCTGTGGGTCAAATGACTCAAAACAATAATGTAAGGGACATCACATACATATAGGCAAACTAGTTGCCTACAGCAGCAGCTTAGTGAGGACAGCAAAAGAAATCTAGACAGAGACAGAAAAACACACATTTACACTGGAATTATCAATTTCAAAATACTTTTATTGGAATGACTGTATTAATACTTACTACATTGTCAAAGCAATATTTGAGATTTATTAATGTAACAAACAAAATGATTTTGTGAGTAAAAGGTTCATAAATTCTAGCAGTCAAATATACTGGGCGTTATTTGGCATTTTTCTAATTATCGGCCAATATGTTTCACTGTTTTACTTTATTTACTTTTTCCGTCATCTGAAACATGCTGCAACTTATAGTCCAAAGAGACACAGTTAACTTCAAGCAAGCAAAGCATGCACAAAGCACACACATTTGGCTTTGTGCTGAATGAGAGCAGTACGTGAGCCCAAGTTTATTTGTATAGCACGTTTCCCACATTCTGGTAGTTTCAGTTTTGCTTTAAGTGTTGACAAATAAATACTTAATAAATTCATATATAATTATTAAATTGTTGCATTTAATCAATTTATCAACAATTTTTTTTTAAGAAGGGAAAAAGCAATCTGCTAAACTGCTTTTGAATAATTTGAGTTTTTAAATTGATTTTAGTCATAGTGAGTTTAGTCATAGTTCACAGTCTACATTTAAAAAGTTTGCAGAATTATTATTACCATCAGGAAGACGGTACCGGAGCATCAGAGCCCGCTCCGCCTTTTTTAACTTATGTATAGGTAAACATTTATATATATATATATATATATATATATATAGTATATTTATAATCAAAATCAGTCAGTAGGTTAGTTGTGTATAGGTTTTTACTGCTTTACTGTATAGGTTTTTACTGTTTTACTTCATTGTTGTATGCCTGTATTTATGTAACACCGTGGTCCTGTGAGGCACGACATTTCGTTCCACTGTATGTCCCCACATGCAGCAGAATGACAATAAAGCTCAACTTGACTTGACTTGAATTAAAGAATCAGAAAATACTGTTAGTGAACTCTGTGTTATGGTTGGTTGATTCCACACAAAAGACTGCTGGAAACTAAAAATGCAACTGCATTTTCACATGTAGCCTAAAGGTTATCATGTGAAGGAGTGTTTTATTTAGAGCAGCAGTTTGAGTACCTCTGGATAATGTGTGATAATGATTGTGTCTGTACAATAAACAAGACTGGGTGATCCGTCTTGCGATCATATCTTTTTGCTAATGACCAACTAACTATACATTATCATGTTTGCTACAAGGTCGGTAACTAAGGATGTCCCAATCAGGTTTTTTGTGCTGCCGATCCGATCAGAGTGATTGAATATTGAGTATCTGCCAATACAGAGTACATTACACACACACATACACACACACATCAGTGTTTCACATACATTTATTTATTTGTGGCGGCCCGCAATATCAACACTGATCGCCACAAATAGATTTTCCAAAAGGCTTTGACTTCGTAAGATAAACGCAGCACGGGTGTTTTTATATGAATGTACCTTTGAAGGGCACCAACTGTCTTTAGAAAAGTTTCGATGTCATTTTCATTTAATCTTTCCTATAATGCCTGATATAGTAGCGTTCGTGAGCAGAGCGCTGCTTTGTTTACAGCCGTTACTGGGGAAACGGCTATTTCTGGCACTCCTAAAGCGCCTCCTGCTGGCAGAGAATGTAAGTGCATTTTCAATAAGCCCGTTTGCTGTTTTATATATAGCCTATATTTCCCCCGGGGGAAGTGCCGCCACACATAGAGTGTAAGTTTGTGGGAAACACACACACATATACATTATATATATATATATA